AATTTAATTGTATCATTTTTTGCAGATGTAAGCTCCCCTGTCACGTTTCTCCTTCCATATACCCTATGTTTCTTGTTGGCAAGTGTATAGTCAATTGTTTCTCTTTTTACATCCTATGTTTTTGTGACAGAGTCATTTATATGCTGTTATTATCTTTACACTATTATAATTTCTCAATTAAAACAGAAACAATACTCTCGGAAACATCGTTATATTTGCTGTCCTTATCAACATCTAGATTGTGTATTTATTAAAAAGCTAAAAGGTACCAAACAAACAAATTGTTATATATTAAAATAATCTTTAGGGTTGTAATTATTTGTGTGCAGAAAGGGACCATGTGACATATGATTCCTTTTTGCATTGAAATAAGTGCTCAAAACTTATATAGTCATTCAATGCAAAAAGGCACTATGTGACACTTGGTACCTTTTTGATAAAACTGGTATGCTTTACTAAATGGAAATATATTTATATTGTACCCTTTTACATTACCGCATTTGTCTGTAAATAAACAGGATAATACATGTTAATACAGAGATATTTCTACAGATTAAAGATTACATTAAAGCATTATGAAAAATGTTAAATTATTTTTGGCAAAAATGTTGCTTGGTACCATTTTGCTTTAATGGAGTGATACATGTACTATAAATAAGAACGGTAAATTGTTAAACAAGCCATTTTATGCGCCTATAGTGTAATGCTTACATTAGCGCTTTAACGCTGCGCAAATGACGTCATGTTAAAGTGTTATCACAATAGTGTAATATCGTTTTTATCAAATGGCTTTATAACACTTCTGCGCCGCGGTTTATTTGAAAAAAATTCAATTATGTAAATTTCCTTCATTAAATTCATTTAATTCAAGCTTGGAAAAATTCCTTCATTAAATGAATTTTACTCAAGCTTGGTAAAAGGAATAATTTAGGGAGAATAATAAGATATGTCTTAAATACGGGTATATACTAAACACGTGTATATTCAAAAGTAAATTGATTTAAAAAAATCATTTTATGTGCAAAAGGAATATTTTCAAGTGCACTAGTGTGTTTCATATCGGTAATTTGAGGCAGAAAGTTGGTCATAGTAATGTCTAGAATGGCTTGTACTTCCAGATTTCCATAAGTACCGGGAATGATATAGCTTAAACATTTTCTGAAAAGATTTTCTTCAATACTTTGATAAATACCTTCATTCATTTACCTGTTTACTCTTAAAAAAATACTAAGTCGTGTATTTTTAGAAACCTGTTGGGAGGTGAGAGATAGAAAAATCCGTAAACACTACAACGGTACAATAAACCGTACCATTTACGGCAACCTCTGTCAACGTTGGGATAGTAATACACCTCATGAACATAACCGAAATGATCCCTCAATGTTCCCCGATGATGCCTCCATTTATGACGCCGGTAATTATTGCAGGGATCCTCATGGAAATGGTAAGTATTACCATCTTATTACTAGATCTATGTGTATTATTCTAATTTTGTTTTTTAAATAATGTTGCTAAAATGATCGTTTTAAATATTTTCCCTTATCTTTTCTTATGTAAAATTAGACTATGTGTTCATTCTTTCTTAACAGTAAAGTAGACAGGTAAATAGAAGGATCTTCTGGTACCAATGTCGTTCTGATTTGAGTTATACAGATTATGTTGTTGTTGTTGTTGTTTGAAATACATACATGAAATACTTAACTTGAATTTATTTAAGCTTCAAGTGAATTTTTTATTTATTTACATGTTTTTATATCATTCCAGGTAAATTAATGTGCCACACAACAAACCCAAGCGTACGTTTCGAGTTGTGCAGCATTCCGGAGTGTTCGAGCCCTGGCTTCCATGCGGTTGTAACGTTTTTATATCTATCATATCTATATATATGTATTCATGATCATTAAATCTACAAGTTTCTAATTTTACATATATACCTGTGCCGCTTCTGTGGCTCCATTAAAAATGTATTGTAGGGCCGTGCATATACTTTTGGACGTGACGTCATTTGCGCTTTAAAAACAAAAGCTGCGTTCTATAAATATGAAAATTTATTTTTTTCGTCGGCTTAAAAACAAAGCTTTCTATAATTTCAAATAAAATTAGCCCGTGTATGCGCTACGTCACAGTGGAAAACTTAAAATAATCACAAGTTGCTATCTAGAACACAATGAAATATTGGACTTGCTTGTGCTTTCTAAATAAAGTAATCATCTCAGAAAAAAGATTAAATTTGTATGAAAACAACTGTCATAAACTGTAGAAATATACCGTTAAATTTCGACTGCAACTTCAGCCATGTTTGTTCATTTTCTACTTTGTACCAATGGCACAAAGGCTAAGTTTCTCATGCAAACAGAAATTGTACTTCCGAAAGTTTCACAAGTAAACAGACATTGTACTTCCTATTTTGCCACATAAGGTTGCAGAATCGTATAAAATTCATTTTAGCTGTCTTGATACCAAAATAAGAACTTAAGTCGATATAAAACACATGTAATTAACAAAATGAAGCTTGTTTCTATTTAGGTTTTTATGAAATTTATAAAATGTAGCTAACGCGCTAATTGTTAGCGTTGTATAATAGAAACCCAATCAACGAGCATGCATTAGACAGACAGTGAGTGTTGGTAACTAATACCTGCACTCCAGTTACCGCACAGTTCATGTATTTGTATACGATGTAACTATAGTAAAATGTCAAAATTGTGTTACAGGTATCAGATGCTCGTATATTGGTTCCTTTTTTTCTGGTGGACAGGGAAAGTGTTTTTATTTTTGCCTATGATACAAAAAGAGAAAGTACATCAAACTACGCCCATCGTATAAATCAGATAGCCTCGTGTTTCGATGCCCTTTCTATTTCACAACCTTTCACAAATCGTGAACATGATCTAATAACATCACCTTTCTTTACAGGCGCATATTGGTTCCGATTTCTTACGATGCAGGTACGTTCCAGAAAGTGGCGAATGCGACTTCAGTGAAGAGTATTTCTGCATTGGTCAAATATATAGACCTCTACGTTCTGAATTAGCTCGCAGACACTGCAAGGTTCCTTTATGTTGTGAACGAAGAGGTAGGCCTCATCTTTTTAACTATCTTTGAAATGAACATGTGTCCAGTTAAACATTCAACAGCATTTACAACTGCATGCCCACCAATGCGCAACAAATGCCCATAAGGAAAGTCCCCCTGTCCATGAAAAAATTAGAATCAGACTCAATTTCAAAATGTCAAACTCTTAAGACTTTAATGCTTAAATATTTGAAATATAAAATAACTTCATTAAAGTGGACACGTAAAAGTATGTTTCGGAACTTTTATTAAAAGTAATTATACGAACATTATGCGCATTAAACAGATGATCCAGATACCGATCTTAATACTAAAATCAATCATTATTGTTATCGATTATGTCTGTATTATGGATTGTAATTCATCGGTTAAATCAAAACAATAGGTTTTTTTTTCCTTCAAGAAAGATATTTGTAAAATACAAGTACCACTAGGTCATTTCTCCAGCTGGAGTTAAATGTGAATGTTCTAGAATTACATTTTCTTGTGATGCAATCTAGTTATGACAAATCTTGTCCGTAAACATTTGTACTATTGGTTGCCAATGTTAAATAAAGCTACCAATGGTTACTAATGGATTTAATCTGAACTCACTCAAGATCTAGGATGAAAATAATACAGTAGCGGATATGTATGTAACACGTAATATAACGAAGCTGCAGGGAGTTACAACGTTAAGGGAATCTTTGTTGTGGAAATTCACGAAACTATAGGTATATATATCAGTTAAAAAATCAAAGGCTGTCAAAAAAATCTCTGTTGCGGAAAATTACAAAGCTATGGTAAATTTCGAAAATTACAGAGCTAAAGAATTCCTTGTTGCCGACATTCATAGATATAATTGTTGCGAAAAGTGAATTCTTGCATAGCAGACTGGCGTTTCCGTGAGTTTTACCCATGCCGGAAATTTCATCTGGCATGGGGGTGCGTGCAAAACAACAGCGTCATTTTAGCGCATTTAATGAATAAACCGCATTAAAATGACGTAATTTTAGAAGAGAATTATGTGTTTACGATGACGTCATTTCGCCGTTGTTATTAAAGTTGTAAATTCATACGCTATTTGTACTGACAATACAACTCGTTTGTTGATGCGTATCCCAGAGAGGTTTATGGATACTATTAACTGAAAATACATACATAAATGTTATACAATACAAAGATATTATTATCATTTGACTAGATGTACAAAATTATAAGAAGATAAGACTATCAGTGAGAGTTTCTAATTATCGTCCAAATTAATTTTACCAGAATAAAGAAACTGATTTAAAAGAAACATTTGTCACTTATATTTACTTAGCTTTGTTTAATAACAATGTTCTAATCACCTTAAACTTGTCGTAAATAAAACAAAACTTCTTTAACACGTATTCTAGAAATGTCTCAAATTCAACAATATATGATATGTAAATACGTTTAACTAGCAAACAATCAGAATCTGCAGACAGGGGAAGAAACTCCGTATGACTGCCAAAGAAATCAATCAATATCACGTTAAATCCACAGACAACCGTACTGACATTAAGTATGCGTATTCTACATAAATACTCAAATTGATCCCTACCAAATTTGAAGTATGACGCAGTATTCTCAGTACAGAAAACAACAAAATATCTGGAAATTCATTTTCCCTCTAGAAAAGAAAATACTCTCTAAAAAGGAGATTTCGCCATTCGTCCCCAAACACCCTCGTAATACGCGAACATTCGCCACACCAAACCGCTACAAACGGCGGTTACACCAGCCCCTTAATTGTGGCGCACATAACAGTGACACAATTACTTAATAGTCCAAGAACATACAATATAAATATAAAACAATGAAGTACAAATGATTGTCAAGTTAACAGAGTCATATCCTTTAAGTTGTACAGTGTTTCTTATATTGAATTAAAATGCGATATTGTCATACAGTCTGAACAATTATTCATCCATTTCTAAAAGGACACACAACTTGTCAACCGGACGAACCAAAACGTTTGTCGCAGTTTTAACCTTTACTTGTCGCACTAATCCGTTTTTGTCTGGTATTGTCTCTTTAACTATTCCCATAGGCCATGAATTTCTCGGTGCACTCGCGTCAACAATCAACACTATGTCTCCAGTTTTTAAGTTTCTCTTCACATCATGCCACTTTTGCCGCTCTTGAAGAAGCGGTAAATACTCCTTAGACCACCTTTTCCAGAACAGTTCCGCCATGTATTGTACCTGCCTCCACCGACGTAAGCTATAATTATCTGACTTTTCGAAAATCCCTGGAGGTAAGTTTGGTAGTCGTTTTAATGTCAGTAAATGATTAGGAGTGAGTGCTTCTAAGTCGCCGAATTGATCTGAAATCCTTGTAATTGGACGGCCATTAAGAACGGTTTCAATTTCGCACATGAGCGTCTGAAGACCTTCGTCATCAAGAATTTGTTCTTTCAAAGTACTGTTCATGGCACTTCTTACAGATCTTATGAGTCTTTCCCAAACACCACCGTGGTGAGATCCAGCCGGGGGGTTGAACTGCCAATCTATACCCCTTTGTAACATCTCCTCGTGAATCTGCGCAACATTCCATTCAGATATTGATTTTCTCAGTTCTCGTTCAGCACCAACAAAGTTCGTACCATTGTCTGAGCGCATTTTGGAAACCTGACCTCTGCGAGCTATGAACCTACGCAATGCATTGATATAAGAACTAGTGTCCAGTGAGTATGCCACTTCTATATGAACCGCCCTACTTGCTAAGCAGGTGAAGATCACGCCATAACGTTTGACACGGCTCCGCCTCAATTTCACCTCAAACGGCCCAAAGTAGTCCACGCCCACTCTAGTAAATGGAGGTTCGTCTGGTTTTACACGATCCTTTGGTAAATTTGACATTTTCTGTTCTCCAACCTGGGATTTCTGTCTACGACACACAACGCACTTTGAAATAATGCTCCTTATAGCTGAGGGCGCATTAATCAACCAGTAATTTTGTCTCAGGACAGAGAGCATGTGGTTTCTACCGCTGTGTTTCAAGTTGTGGTGAATATTTTGAAGTATCAATGTCGACAAGCGATGACCCTTTGGCAAGATTATCGGATGTTTACTTTCTGCAGGTAAACTAGATTCATGCAAACGCCCTCCAACCCGCAACAATCCACCATCAAGATAGGGGTCAAGTTTTCTGATACTACTTTTTCGACTCACGTGATGACCTTTCTTCAGCAATTCAATTTCTTCTTTGAAGACAGTCCTCTGTGTGTACATCACAATAGCCTTTTCAGCTTCTAGTAAATCATCAACTGACAGTCTGGCTGACTCTTCTGGTTCAACAACCCCTTTTTGACCCTGTTGATGTACACGCTTACGAAGCTCATTTCGATATTTCAAGATCCAAGCAACGCCTTTTCTTAACTTGTACCAGGACGAATAGTAGTTTATCAACTTCTCCGTTCCCGCATTCTCTAATTTACTACCATCTTCACTCTTTACGCAAGTGAGGTTTGCTTTTACTTTCTTCACTTCGGGATCGTCATCTCGGAGCTCGAAGTTATTCTCCCGCAGTGATGGCCAGTTTTCTTCCGTCATTTCCAAGAATTTAGGTGCTTCAATCCACCTTTCTCCCCAAAGTGAGTTTTCCACAGGAAGTCCTCTTGAAGCAATGTCTGCTGGATTCAACTTGGTGTTAATATAGCGCCAATCACTGACGTTTGAGCCTTCATGTATTATCATCAGTCTGTTGGCTACAAATGTGTGAAACCTAGAAGTCGTATTTCGCACATACCGTAATACTGACATGCTATCTGTCCAAAACACTGACCTATCAATTTTCATTTCTAGCTCATCTTTCAGCATTTTGTTTGTACGTACCGCTACTGTTGCTGCTGTCAGCTCCAAACGTGGTACAGTGACCTTCTTCAGAGGCGCTACCCGAGATTTACCAATGACAAATGAACATTGAACTTTATCTTCCGTGTTCGTCATGCGCAAGTATGAGACTATGCCATAGCCACTTTCACTAGCATCGGAAAAATGGTGTAGTTCTGTGTGCTTGATATCACCAAACCCAGGGAACTTGAAACATCTGTTCACTTTAAACTCGGACACCTTTTGAATATCGCACAGTATCATGCGCCATTGCTCAGCAAATTTCGGTGGTACTGGATCATCCCAACCTAACTGTAACCTACAAAGCTCCTGTAGTAATAGTTTGGCATTTAGCATAACCGGAGCTAAGAACCCGAGAGGATCGAACACGCTACTAACCACTGATAGAATGCCTCGTCGAGTAAGCGGCTGGTCTTTGATCGCTAAGACAAAGCGAAATGTGTCTGTTTCTGCACACCAGCTTAAGCCCAAAGCTCTGTCAATAGGTAAACTGTCTTGATCTAGGTCTAAATCCTTGGCAAGGGCAGCTCTTTCTGTGATGGGTATTGAATTCATTACTTCTTTACTGTTACTTATCCATTTGGAGATGTTGAAACCTCCCTGCCTTAATAGAACCTTCAGATCGTGAAGCAAGGAGATTGCACTTTCGCTTGACGAAACAGACTTCAAGCAGTCGTCAACGTAGAAATTATTCAGAACTGTGTTTATCACATTGTCGTTGAACTGTCCCCGACAATCCGTAGCGGTTTTTTTTAACGCATAGTTTGCGCAGCTTGGCGAAGAGGTCGAGCCAAATAAATGGACGGTCATCTGATACTCAATTATAGGCTTACTTGTGTCTCCCTCTTCCCACCATAGAAATCTTAAAAAGCTTCTATCTTCTACTGGTACTAGCACTTGATAGAACATGCTGTCTATGTCTCCCATTATGGCTATTTCTTCTTGACGAAACTTAAGAAGCGTACCTGAAAGTGTATTTGTGAGATTTGGTCCCTGCAGTAATTGGTCGTTAAGTGATGTGCCGTGAAATCTTGCCGCACAGTCGAACACTACTCTCAGTTTTTCCTTTTTAGGGTGGTATACACCATGATGGGGCAGATACCAAACGCGACAGTCAGTCTGTTGTAGATGTTTCCTGGGAACCCTTTCCGCATACCCTTCTCTCAAAACCTTGCTCATGAAGTCCTGATATTGCGTATAAAATTTGGTGTCTCGCTTAAATCGCTTAGCTAATAATATCAGTCTTTGCTCAGCCTGTTTTCGATTGTTCGGCATAGCAACATCAGAATTCTTAAATGGCAAATTCACTGTATAATGTCCATCTTTCAAACTAATAGATTCTGACACAAATTCGAGGAATCGTTGATCCTCCACTGAAGGCTCAAGCTTGTCGTCGATAGCGCGTTCGTTAAAGTCGTGATTGAACTGGTTGAGGACTTGTTTTTCCAAGTCTGGTCTGGACTCGATTCTAGTAAAATTCGACGTCACCAACTCATTGTCTTTTTCTGTGTTAGAGCCCAAAGGTCCATTTATCACCCAGCCACAGGATGTTTTTACTGCAAATGGTCCGCCGTTTACGCTTGGAATTACTTCCCATGGTTCCATTGCCCTTGGAACGTTAATACCAATTAATAGATCAATGTCACTATTAATTCTCTGCAATGGTAAGTCTTTCAAATGCGACCATTCCTGAACACTTTCGATTGACACTATGTCCCTTTTTGACACTGGTAAACATTTCCGTGTGAATACTGGACCAAGCTCGATGGTGTTTTCCCCATTTAATGCACTGATTTCCAGTCCAGTGATTTCATGTGTACTTTGAACGCTTTCTTGACCCATAGTAACCAAGTTTATTCTTTTCCGTTTTCCTTGAACATTCAGTTTACTTATCAATCTTTCTGTACAGAAGGATGCTGTACTCCCCGAGTCCAAAAATGCATAAGTTTCAACATACTTGTAGCTGTTTTTTACTTTTAGGCGAACAGGCACAATTGGCAAAGCTTGATGTATTTTACTTCCAGCCCCCGTATGAGTTGCAGTTGCTTTTGTATTGATAGGAGAGTCCTGATGCGGTTCGACATGTAATATTGTCAGGTGAAGCTTGGTACAAGTCTTACAGTTTGCTTTCCTTTTACAATTTAATTTTTGATGTCCTGACCTCAAGCAGGCAAAACATAAACCTTTGTCTCTTAGAAAGGCATACCTCTCTTTCAAGGGTAATTTTGTTATTTCCTTGCAATTTTCTAGCTCGTGAGATCCTTGACAAAACAAACATGGCTTTATAAATGCCGAACCAGGTTTATACCGGCTCTCTGCTTCGCGTTCATTGTGATGCCTTTCTTTCACACCGCTGTCTGAAACACTAGTAATGAGCGTTTTGCGCGTTCCGTAAGGCCTGTTTACTCTTGTAGATGATGACTGTTTATCCTGTGAGTTGATGTTTTTAGATGTATTTAGTACTTCTTTACCATAAATTGGATCCGTGGCCTTTTTTGCCTCCTTTCTAACAAAGTCAACCAAATGCTCAAATCTTACCACTTCCCTTTTACTCTTAATGTCATACACTATATTCCTCCACCTTTCATGTAAATAATACGGCAGTTTTTGCACCAGCAGCCTTAAGTTTTCGGAGTATTCTAAAACCCTCACTGAATCTAAACTTTCCACAGCAAACTGACATTCCCTCAAAAATATTCCAAACTTATCCAAATCTTGTGCTTTTTCCGGTCTGATTGGAGACCACTCAAGTGCCCTTTTCACGTATGCTCTTGCTATTATGTCCGGGTCTCCGTACCGCTCATGAAACTCGGCTAAAGCTGCCTTGTATCCACTTTCAGAGTTCATATGAGAGTACCCAAGAACGATTTTATGCGCTTCATCTTCTGTATATTGCAATAGAAAGTTCAGACGTTCCTCGTATGAATCTGTGTATGCACAAACTCTAGCGTTAAATTGTCTAAGGAAAGTGCTGTATTCGATTGGATTGCCTTTAAAACATTGGATTTCAGCCTTTGGTTTATTCATTATTTTCGATACAGAGTTCATGTCGCGATTCAGTGAATTCACTATGCTGGATGTTTGTAGAACAGGTATTTCATTAATCCCTGGCTGAACATTGACTAACCGTGAAACAGTTTGTGCCTTATCTATCTTAACATCATTGTTTACATTATGTTGATGCAAGTCATGTTCACTGAATGATTCATCATCTTTGATTTCACCTTGCTCAGTAGCAGTAGATACACAACGTTCTGGAATCCACACAGGAGAATTTGGATTTAGTACATACTTATTTTGAATGATGTGAGATTCCATAGGTGGTTCTTGCTTTATTTTGTGGTCGGTAAACTTAATATTGTCCTCCAGCAATTGGTCATCCACCATGCTTCTTTCTAAGTCTTCTAAAACCTTAGTCCGCGCATCACTCACTTGTAATTCAGTTTTAATTTCAAATTCCTTCTCTTTCATTTGAAGACTTAACTTTGCTTCTTTTAATTTTCTTTGCTCCTTTAGAGCTGATGCTCTTGCTAATAGTTCTACCTTTCTTTGATTTTCTTTCATTTTAGCAATCGATAAGTTACTCGAAATACTCGAATGTCTACTTGATGATCTAGAGCTGCCACTGCGATGAGATTTTGTTTGTAATTGTTCAAGGGTCTCGGGTACACTACAGTTTTTCAGAAACCATTGTTCTGCCTCATACTTTACATATGCATAGTCGCTGGTTGTATTTTCAAATTGACTATTATCATCGTGCAATTCTGTTTCATTCAATAATTTTTTATACTGTTCATGTGCTATAAGCAACTGTTCATAATTGTTCAACCAAATGTTATACAATACAAAGATATTATTATCATTTGACTAGATTTAAAAAATTATAAGAAGATAAGACTATAAGTGAGAGTTGCTAATTATTGTCCAAATTAATTTTAACAGAATAAAGAAACTGATTTAAAGAAACGTTTATCACTTATATTTACTTAGCTTTGTTCTAACCACCTTAAACTTGTCGTAAACAAAACAAAACTTGTCTAATACGTATTCTAGAAATGTATTAAATTCAACAATATATGATATGTAAATACGTTTAGTAAACGATCAGAATCTGCAGACAGGGGAAGAAACTCCGTATGACTGCCAAAGAAATCAATCAATATCACGTTAAATCTACAGACAACCGTACTGACATTAAGGATGCGTATTCTACACAAATACTCAAATTGATCCCTACCAAATTTGAAGTATGACACAGTATTCTCAGTACAGACAACGACAAAATATCTGGGAATTCATTTTCCCTCTAGAAAAATCGGAAAATACTCTCTAAAAAAGGAGATTTTTTATTCGTCCCTAAATATTTTCGTATTTCACGAACATTCGCACCAGAGAAATAGGTTACAAACTACTAAAACCTTAGTTTGTGTTACAAACACCAAACCGCTACTAACGGCGGTTACACTATTGTTAGAAAATAGTTATAGATAAAATGACTTTAATTTCCATGAACAAATATCTTATTGAGGTAAACTATTTTAAATATGAAAAAATATTGCAGAATATGCAAAAAAAATATCTGACATATGTTTGCGGTTTGGATCGGAATATCCGGCCCTCGGGAACCTGCCCATGGGAGGTAACTCGGCAAGTTTCGTTACCGCCCAATGGGCGGGGTCCCTTGATCTGAACCGCAACATATGACATATTATTGATCCGTCTTGTGGAAAGTCACGAAGCTGTATCTCATATTTGAGTTATATCTTTGTGGCGACATCAGATTGATGATGGGAATTTCTTAACTCTAGGTTGCAGAAATGGCGATTCGCATGAGTATGACGGGCAATGGAATATTACCGATGACGGACAGACTTGTAAATATTGGGGTGGATACCTGACGAATGTACCGGAACCGGCTAACTTTCCAGAAAAATCTCTGGTTAATGCAAGTAATTATTGCCGGGATCCCGACTTAAAAGGTAATATAATGAAATTTTCAGCATGAAGTTATAATCGAGTACTGAGTACAACATTGAATCCTTTTGGACGAGTACACAGCTATCACACCTATTTCAGTGGAGGTGCCGACCTACATTGATACTTGCAGCTGTGTACGAGTCAACTAAAATCAGTATTGTTCTCAACCATGTTAATGACTTCTATATTTCACACCACCATTTTTTATACATGTATATATTTCGCCAGAACTGCAAATATAAAAAGGATTTCATATGAATTTTGGATTCTTAAAACGAAAACGAGGCTATATGGGTGTGATATGGTTTGGATATGATTTTTGGACTATGGAAATGTAAACGAGACGATATATGTTTGGATATGGGTTAAATATGGATTTTAGAACTTTGGAATTGCTAAAACAATGCTAAATTGATAAGATTTGATTCAATAATGGTTCTAATAAAGTAAGTACTATCAATTTGGTTATATTTTATAAGGTTGAAATAAACTATTGAATGTATATTGAATGGACGGAATCAAAGAGACCAGTTGTGTAATTTTGTGATGAATGTTTTTGATACAGGTATATTAACACAACCAAAGTTTTAAATTTGTAAAGCAATGCAACAACTTTGCTGACAGAACTGAATATTTCATATTAAAATCTTTAAACTCAGGATAAACCACAGGGTAGGACTATTATATCAATCTAGGGGTGGCAGAAATAAGGGAAAAGGGTGAGGAACTTCATCCATGTGTAAATTAATGCACGCATCTGTTGAAAATCCCGATTGCAACTAATATGGGCTCAGATAACCCAATCATACAGGTGTTGATTTAAGGTGCATTCTAAAGTTATAAGATTATACATGTAAAATCAAGAGAGATAAGCATCAATTTTATCGTACAAACCAATAAACGACCATATATTTTCGGTTGTATTTCTGTTGGAAAAGAATTTAGAATATTTTGTCTGAATTGATTTTTTTTTTTTGCTGATTAATCATTATGTCTGATAAGAAAATATACTTATTAATTATTCATTTTCATTTTTTTTCTGTATGAAATGCGCCTAATTCATTTTGCGGCTAATTCTTAAATTTGAGTTTTTAACCAACAAAATAACTATGTACGCCATAATTTATATACTTGTTTATATTTAGGTTACACTTGGTGTTACACTGATAAGCGCGGATATAGAGGGGTGATGCTAGACTTTCCATGCAGTATTCCTTTATGTGATGAATTTGTACCGCAGTGTAAGCCAAAAAGTTTTGTTTGTTTGTTTGTTGAGTTTTAAATCTCACCAATACCGAAAATGTCACATGGCGACATCAGACCTTTACTTGTGGAGGAAGCGCTCAGGTGCCCATCCGTACACGAGCTAGAACCAGAGTAGCATAATTACCGACGTTCATAAAGCTACTTTCCTGACATAAAAAAAATCAAAAGTCCCTGGCGAAATTCGGACCCACAGCGGTGAGAAGTAAGTGAGAACGCCTCGTTTAAATTACTTTCACTTCAAAGTTTGTTTCATATAGCCGTTAACATACTATATCTGTATACTGTACGACCCCCCCCCCCCGGATGATTTTTAACCGTCCATTCGAAAGTTTAAGTCATTTCATTATCAAAATACAAAATTCAAGCAACAGTATATAGTCTGATCATATTTTATACGTTTATAGTACATAAATGGCTGCTGCAAATTCATGAGCCATGGTTACTTTCACTGAGCACTTTTCATTGTTCGAATGTAATCAACAGAGTGCTATAAACTTCACGACATGTACTCACTGAACAATGCACCTAACATCATTTAAATACGCTACTTGCTACATGCACATTAATCACTGAGTTTTATTTAAGAAATAATATATCCCAAACTGTGATTTTATCGCTCAAAAAAGTCACTGTTTGGAGTGCGGATGCGAGGAATTATAACACGAGAGCATAGCCCGAGTGATATATTGATGCGCATCCGAACAACAAACAGTGATTTTATCAAGCGATAAAAACACCGATTTTGATATATTGTTTCGATTCTAACACGACATCATCAAAAAAATGCTGCCATACCTGATATTAAACTAAATTGTGCCTGATATGTTTCCGTACTTATTTTCAGCGCGTCATATTGTTAGTGGTAACGTCACGTGTATAATGATTATGTCACATGTCTAAATATAGAACGTCATACAGTGATTTTATTGCATAATAACAAACACTTTGGGTTCTTTTATGGTCGATAGGGAAAATGCGGATCATGTTAGAATACCTTTTAGAACATTATTTAGTGTGCTAGTATAACTTCACAAACATTTTCCATACAGTACTTTTAAGTCGATTTTATCATTTGCCGAGCACTCCTCCATGCATGAACGCTATTCATGAAACACTAAAAACTGTATGAACATTATTCATAGAACACTAAAATCTGCATGAAGACTATCTACATAACTTTTAATCTCATGATTCACAGACATCATTCATAAAACATTTAAACTGAATGAACATTTTTCATAAAAAATTAGTGACTGCATGAATATCATTCATAAAACACAATCAACTGTATGAAGATTTTTTATATAACAATGCTAAATGCGTGAAAATTATTAATAAAAAAAAATAGTAATTGCATGAATATTATTCATAAAACGACGCTAACTGCATGAACATCATTGTTCATATAACATCAATAACTACATAAACATTATTCATGTAACGACAGCTGTTTGAACACTGTTCATTTAACAACGATACCTGTATGAACATCATCCATATTACAACACTAACTGCATAAACATTATTCGTAAAACAACAATAACTGCATGAACATTATTCATGTTAAAATGCTGACTCTATGAACATAATTCATATAACAACGATACCTGCATGAACATCATCCATATTACAACACTAACTGCATAAACATTATTCGTAAAACAACAATAACTGCATGAACATTATTCATGTTAAAATGCTGACTCTATGAACATAATTCATATAACAACGATACCTGCATGAACATCATCCATATTACAACACTAACTGCATAAACATTATTCGTAAAACAACAATAACTGCATGAACATTATTCATGTTAAAATGCTGACTCTATGAACATAATTCATATAACAACGATAACTGCATGAACGTTATTCATGTTACAACATTAAAAGCATGAACGTCATTCATATGATAACGATACTTATCACATAAACCGCGGCGCAGGAGTGTAATAAAGCCATTTAATAAATACGATATTACACTAGTGTATTAACACTTTGACGTGACGTCATTTGCGCTATATACATAGCGTTTAAGCGCGCTTATGTTAGCGTTACACTATAGGCGCGTCATTGAAAAATTACTCATTTTAACAGTTAACTGTTCTTTTTTAATAATATGTGATAAATAGAATATTATATTCGTGTAGATTCAACACTAAATTTATTGAACTCGTTAAATAAAACAATATTATGCTCGCCAGAGGCTCGCATAATATGATTTTATTCAACTCGTTCAATAAATTTAGTATTAAACTACACTCATTTAATATCCTCTATTTACTGCATGAACAAAATTGATATAACAACGCTAAC